GCTTTTTTGGAAATAAAAGTCTCCATTCACTGTCATTGTATGGAACAGAACAGTTTGAGCATTCTGCTAGACTTCTACTTTTTGGTGTTCAACATCAGAAACAAAGTCATAAGGATTTGGAATAACATGAATATGTAATGACAGAATTATAATTTTTGGATGATCTATCTCTTCCACAGGAAATATAACTGTGATCGTTATTGTCACTGTCATCTTAAAACTCACCAGTTTTCTTTAGCAGCCAATATAGGGGTTGTGCTACTTCTTTCTTTGTCCATGAAATTGGTACAAACCACTCATAACTGAAAAATGAAGCATATTGTGATATAGTAATTCCACATTTCAGCAGAACTTTGTGATTCATTCTTAAGTAGGATTGATATAATAAGTTGGCATGTAAAGATAATTCATTATAAATGTATATTATTGATCTAATTGTGAGCAATTCATCTGTGCATATATTTAATAAAAAAATCTTGTCATTTTTAATCAGAATGTCAGCTCAATCTTCTGGTGAAACTACAAACTTCTCTCTGGTGATGTATGCTGGAGTTCTCCAATCAATTAGTCTGTTTTAACCCCTCCTATTTCTTATAATCGACTGCAATCTCACATTCAGCTAATCTGCTCCATCCAATCAACAACTGATTGACAGAATCAAGTCCCCATCCTTTCATCCTGGGTTTTTTTTCTTCTCGGTTGTCTGTTTTGCTCAAATGTATGTCACAATATGGAAGAAAAGATCTCTCGCTACTTCAGTTTCATATGAAGTAGACTTTAAAGTATCTAGTAAACCGTAAAAAAAGTAACCTTTTTTTTTTCTTTCAAAATACTTTTTGACGTACTTAAATTCTGATGTCCTGTCTGGTTTAGATTCAGGGTCCAGGAGGAAGTGCTCCTGTGTGATCTGGCCAGTTGTAGTGTTAATAGTGACCACGGGGAAGCCCATTTGAAGAACCCAGCGGTCCATAATCTCTTGCACAGACTTGGGAAGACTGGTGCCGGTGCCGTTCACAGCCTATAACATTTCATATATGAGCATGTTTTCTGTGGCAAAAAAATTGGATAATGACATGACTGAACAGCATTGTTTAATTGCACCATACCAGTTGAAGATGGTGCCAAAGGTCTGTATACACTGTGTTGCTGAATTTAAAATAGTCCAGGTAAGTCTGTTTAAAAAAAAAATAGTTGTGAATGTACAAAAGCATTCTCCATCGCAAAAGCATGTTAAATTTTTATTGTACAGCACAACAAGGAATAGTGTACAAAGGGTTTTTACCTGGAGGCCTTGGGTAAACACTGTCTCAGTCAGAAAATCCGATAACATCCTAAGTACTGACGCCCCCTAGAGAAAGAGACTCTACATTACCAGACAAACCACATGTAGTCTGTATGTTCTTCATTATTAGACATTATAGTTAACGTAGCAAACAGTTCCCACACTACCTTACTGTAGGAAATCGTATCAAACACTTCGTTGATTTGCTCTGGTCTTTGGATCTCCTCTTCTTTAAACGACAAGGGGTGAGATGAGGCCAATGCATCTATGGCGAAAACTCGGTGCACATCATTAAGAACGATCAAATCTTTCTGGGAGATAGAAATAGAAGAGTCAGTTATGATTTAATCTGCTCTTTGTGATAGCTTGTAGCATTTACAGTTTATCACTGTGGCTTTGGCTTCAGACACTCACAACATTCCAATCCGGCTCAGCATCATCTGCTCCAAGATATTCTACATAAGATGCAAAACCTTCATTGAGCCACAGGTCATTCCACCACCTGAGAGTCACAAGATTTCCAAACCACTAAAAAAGAAAGAGGAAGATGGTAATTTGCAGGGGTTATAAACTTTAAAGTTGTGAAGTAACTTCTGGAAAGCATTTCCCATTTAGGGTTCAAATTGGAAAAAGGGACTCCTGATTATACCTGATGGGCAAGTTCATGGGCAATAATAGTAACGATACTCTCTTTGTTTCCATTGGAGGATATTTCTTCATCGTACAGCAAGGCTGTCTCTCTGTATGTGATTAAGCCCCAGTTTTCCATTGCACCAGCGTTGAAGTCTGGCAGAGCGATTTGATCTGTGCAATATTTTGAAGAATGAGTAAAACTTCTAAAAATGGCCTAAAAGTTTTAAGCATTCACCTAATCTTACTTAAATTGTCATTTCGATAATAAAACGATTTAATTGCCTCATAAAATATAGGTCATATCATAGGTTCTTACCTGATTTGGGCAGCGGATAGGGGACATTGTAATATTTCTCAAAGAATTTGAGAATTGGTCCAGTCACATTGAGTGCATACTCCCCTTGTCCTGCATTTATGGCTTCTTGACGGGCAAAAATTCGGATCTGTTTGTATCAATTATAGAATGTTGTGTTTTAGTAGATGAACATGTTGTTTTCTAATCTTTGCTAAATTAGGTAGGGCTTAGGGCAGTAGGTTTCATTATTAAATTGGTGGAATTTTGTCTGAAGATCCTCTGAAAAGATAAGTTACCTGCAGTTTATCAGTGTTTTGTTCAATGAAGCCGAAATCGCTGACAATAAATGCCAACAAATATGTCGACATGACTTCTGTGGGCGCAAATGTTGTTCTGGTTACAAGAGTGCCATCCGCTGTGACGTTAACCTCATCTGAAAGTCGAAAAGAGACACTGAATGATGAACCACTGAACATTGAATTTTCTTGAAGTCAGTTTGAAGGAATAATGCAAACTTGTTCATCAGAAGTAAACTACTTTATCAAACAAGTAGCTGTATAGGGCAACCAAACACTACATTGCTGTTTTTAAGCTAAAGGAATAATCAAACTTTCTAACTCGCATATAATTTTATTATATAATATAATTTACCCATTCAAATTTGAATTTCACACCAGTCACACTAATTGAGATAGTTGAGTTTGTTCATGCAAAATCCCTCATTGTTTTTGAATTAGCAAAATATGGTTCTGATTAAATGATGAATGCATAACCGTTATGTTACATTTTATAATTATAAAGATATATGGTCCCCTTAAGTAACTTCAGTGTAGCTACTTTTTGTTTGTAGCTGTTAGTATAGCTAACTACTTTTTCAAAGC